TAATAACACCATAAGGTGTAAAAATAATAACACCGAAAGGTGGGTAAGGTGGTACCGTAGGTGTTATTATTGTTACACCTACGGTGTTATTATTGTTTTATTATTGTGTTATTATTGTTACACCTACGGTGTTATTTAGTGTTGCCAGTCTAGCAAGTAAAATTTCGAGACGAAAGGTAAAAATAATACGGAATTTGGTTTTCACATCGGGACATCTACAATGGCTACAAAATATAGGAGATTTGTAGCCTTTTTTGTGCTTTATTGAGAGTATAGAGGTAACTCAGATGGTTAACGCACACTGTAAATATTACAGTATGCGAATAACCTGGGTTCGATCCCCGCCGGCACCATTGAAATTGTTAATTGCAATTTTAAGTGCTGATTTACCACGTGCTCGGCGGTGAAGGAAAACATCGTGAGGAAACCTGCATGTCTGAGGAATTAAAAAAAATTCTTTCGAAGACATGTGAAGTTCGCCAACACGCATTGGGGCAGCGCCGCGGCGGACATTGCCTTGACCTAAAACCCTCTCAGAAATGAGGGGAGGCCTGTGCCCAGCAGTGGGACGCATATAGGCAGTAACTTTACTTTACTTTATTTTACCTTTGTGCTTTATAATTATTATTCGGGTCTCATCTCATGAACGAATAACTTTTCATCCAAACATCGTAAAAACTGAATTTTTTTCGTTTTAGGCAAATCAATACATTTTTGAACTATTTGTTTTTTTGCAGTCTCTGAATTTTTCAAATCACTCATTTTTAAATATAACTCTGTTTAAAAGTTTTGTGTATTTTTTTTCGACTAGTGAGACAATGTCGTAGTAAAATATTTTAATGTAGTAGTAGCTAAAAGATGTAATCATTTTTGTTTGTCAAAATTATGGATTAAAGTATAGACTAAGAAGGTTAGTGAAAATCGGGACATTTGGAGTCCCGATCAAGGGTGAATCGGGACGTGTCACCAGACCCTTAAAAATCGAGACGTCGCCCGCAAATCGGGGTACCTGGCAACACTAGTCTTATAAGGGTTACTCGTATAGATTTTTTTTCTCTTCGTATTGTTTTTGGTGGGACACCTGTGTCATATAGTGACACCGTTAAAAATCTATGTGTTACTTATGACAAAATTTTATCTTGGGCTCCGCAGGTAAGTGAGGTGAGTATGAGGGTGTTTGCGTCAGTCGGATCTCTCCGTAGATTAAACAATTTCCTACCTGTTCCTACCAAAATTGTGCTTGCACAATAACTCCTCTTACCGATTCTAGATTATGCTGACACGTGTTATATCTCAATTTAAATGAGGAGCTTGAGCGCATTTAGATCCTTTGCATACGGTTCAAATTTGGTCTTCAAAAATATGACCATATTTCCGAATATCGCGTAAAACTCAAGTGGCTTCCGATCCGTCTTCGCAAGAATACTCACATTGTTTCTCTTTTATACTGTATTCTATTCAATCCTACTTCCCCTTCTTACCTTAAAGAGCGGTTTAAGTTTCTTGGTGACACTGACTGTCGCTCTCTTCGCTCTGGTAAAAACCTCACCCTAAAAATCCCATCCCATAACACTTCCTTCTATTCTAAATCCTTTTCTATTGAAGCTGTTAGGCTCTGGAACTCCCTACCGCTGCACATTAGAAGTGCGCAGTCTATTGAAAAGTTTAAAAACTTGTCTAAGCACACTTCTTTCCTCCGATAAGGCCACCAATTGTACCTTTAATAATTTATGTTTTTTTCTCTCTATCATATGGTGTACAATAAAGTATATTTCATTAATTAATTCATTTAATATCCCCATTTTATCACCCACAACTAAATTATTGGAATGAACAAATATTTATATAGATTAATAGGCAAATCTATAAGGCTGGGTTTTTGGATTTTTGAAATGAAAAGAAAAAACTAATGTTACTTATTTATCGCGTTTAATTTAACTATGTTACTTATTGTTCATTCCCGACATTTGGATGCTTTACAGTCCAATAATCATGGAAGGAAAGACGTGTGGTTTACAGTTAAATTAAACGCAATAAAATCCGTAAAATTAGCTTTATTCAAAATGTAGAATTCGTGTAAATAATCATTATGTTAGCTTCTGTTTTACTTTTTGTTGGCAAGGAACACAATAAAGACTTCTGTAACCTGTATATAAAACGTCATAGTATGTCATCTGTAATGGCGTATTTTTATAAAATATGAGCAACCAACAAGCATACAGTCTACCTGATAGTAAATGTATGCTATGTTCCCTTAAGAATTAAAAATGTAGATGCGTAAGGACTAATATATAATGCCCCGTTATCAGTGAAAACGGTCTCCGGTTCGTAATATTTTCTCCTTATAACAACTTTAGTAAAAATAGAGGCCGTTAAACATGATAAATTCCGTAAAATTAGTATCATTTTAAGGTTACAGGGGCAAAACAAGAAATGTCACAAAAAATCCATTACATTAGATTTGATAAACCACAAATTCTCGCAAAAGAACACCGATTCCTACCAAGGATGATACGCGAGGCTATTGAAATTAAAAAACATCCAAATTTCAATAGAGAAGATGGTTGGGTGCTACCATCTGCTTGGGATCCTATAATCAACAAAATTAAACCCAAACCCAAGCATACCACTGCAAGACTTCATGATACTATAAGCTCGTTTTGCGTAAATCGGACCAAAAAATTAATATTAAAAAACTGAAGGTAGCCGGACTAACTATGACATTGGGACGTCAAACATCTCAGTCCCCCCCGTGACCATGGGCGCTGTAAAGCACCCGAAACGTCGGGATAATAATAAAAATAAATTAAAGATATTAAACGCGATAAAATCCGTAAATAATAGTTTTATTCAATGTGTAGTGTTCGCGTAAATTTAAGAAATCATTAAAAATCCAAAAGTTAATTTATGATGGCAACATTCTCATTTCTCAGTGTATTTTTATTTGGCATTATACAAAAAGCGTAAAAACAAGCATTGTCAGATGTATTGTTAGAATTTCAAAATTGTGTGCAGGAACAAAACAGGGAAGGTCCATGTTGTAACGGAACGTAAGAAGGAATGTCCTAGCTGTCAAAATATTTAAGTCAACTTTGAGGTCACAGAATACATTTACCCTGACGGGTTTGAGGTAGGCATGTCGATTCACTCTTAAAAAAATCGATCTCTGAATCGATTTGAATCGAAGGTACTTGAATCGATTATCGATTAAATCGAGGATTAAAAGATCGATTTTCGATTAATCGCGACATTAGTAATCTTATTGATTAACATTACTAATATTCCTTTTAACCACTCAAGCTAGAAGCGCTTGTGTTAGGAGTGGTTCGCACATACTCCACTCGATCCCTTTTTTTACAAAGTGATTCCACGTAACACTTTTATTTGACATTTTAGGCTAAAAACAACAACAATACTTTAACAGAAGTGCAAACTACAACGTACATTTCTCGATAAATCTGTTTCAATCTAATAACTCACTATTTATCATATCGAAATGAATGCTACACGAACACAATACTGGTTACTTCCTTACTATAAACCTCTATAAACTTCAACGTACGGTATAATATTTATTGACAGTATCTAGGTAAGTATTTATTTACAGTAGGTAGGTAAATTACTCTGTCTGTACTTACAGCTCATAGTATGTATGATAATGAATAATGTAAATTCACAAGTTCACAGTTCAAACAGGTTCACAGCTATAATATTATATTATAGTACAGGAGGTGAAATATAATATGAAAATATCGCTCGGTCGATCGAAAAAATGTTTATAGTTTGGGATGTAACGTAAAATATATATTACATCTCAGTGGAAACGGTTCCATTTAAAAGTACGGTGAGCGTTATTAATTTATATCTCGAGATGTAATATAAATTACATTATATCCCTTAGTGGAAAGTGGGCTTAAGAATTTTAGAAATGAAAATGAAATGACAACTTTTCGATATTGTTGGATGAAGAGCAAAAAATTAAAAAACTGTGGTATCTTACCCCATCCAGTTTGGGAATTTTAGCTAGTTCTTGTATCAAATGAATCGGTCCGATTCAAGAGGTTTTTAGATCGATTCAGTGAATCGATGCGGTGCTTCGAATCGATCTAAAAAATCGATAATTTTACTTCAAAGAATCGATTTTTCGATTAATCGATTTTAAATCGACATGCCTAGTTTGAGGTTATCTCGAGTGTTTGTTCGGAGTTGCTGTTTGTGATTTGAATAGATATTAATTGTTATTTCGATTTACCGCTGTAAAAATGAGTAATAGTGATGAAGAAATCAATAACACTTTTGTGTGCATAACACAAAGAAACGAAAGAAAACAGGAAGAATGCGTGAAGTGATGAAAAAATTGAGAGTTTCTACGCACGAGCCAGGAGATGATTGCAGGTGTAAAATTGTAATGTTTTGATAGAATATCATCAGAGCAATGTGCAAAACTACTTAAAGACTTCAACAGAATGAACTACACAGATGAACAAAATACATACTTATGTGGCTTGATGAATGTGTGTTCAATAAAAAAGGAGGCGAAGTAGAAAAACAGAAGAAATGGATGCTAATTTCCATCAAACTCATTTCACTTACAAAGTGAGGGTGATAGAAAATGATGAGACAAAAGAAGAACCTGTTTGCTACAAAGCATTTTTATCCATATTTGGCATTACCAAAGGAAAACTTGTAACATGTTCAAAAGTCATTAAAAATGTCAGGTACTGCACCAAGTGACAAAAGATGGAAGTCAGGTTCAAACACGAGATTAGACAATAACATTAAAGATTTGATATGTAATTGAGACAAAAGAAGAACCTGTTTGCTACAAAGCATTTTTATCCATATTTGGCATTACCAAAGGAAAACTTGTAACATGTTCAAAAGTCATTAAAAATGTCAGGTACTGCACCAAGTGACAAAAGAGGGAAGTCAGGTTCAAACAAGAGATTAGACAATAACATTAAAGATTTGATATGTAATCATATAAAATTCTTTAAAAGACGGCAAAGTCACTACAGCTTGAATGATACAAAAAAAGAATATCTACCTGAGGACCTAAACATAAAGAAAATGTATAAGTTGTACTTAGATGCATATGAGTCACAAAATCATGTATCTTATGAAACTTACAGAACCATCTTTAATACAGAGTTTAATATATCATTTGGCTATCCCAGGACTGATACCTGTAGTGCTTGTGATGAATTCAAAATAAAAGCGAAGGCATTGAGAGCTGAAGGAAATATTGTAGAACTGAATCGGTTAACTATTCTGAACAATTTGCACAAGAAAAAAGCTCAAACATTTTATGATCGTAAGAAAAATGCAAGAATCAAGAGCAAAACAGATGTGGAATTTCAAGCAATTGCCATGGACTACCAGAAGAATGTATCGTTGCCAAAAATCACCACAAGCAATGTCTATTACAAATGTCAATTATCAATGTACTCTTTTAATATTCATGCATTGGGTGATGCAAGCTCCTATTTTTACACCTATCCAGAAACCTGTGGACGTAAGGGTTCAGATGAAGTGGTTTCATTTCTGTTTCAATATTTAACAAACCACCTGGAGAGTCGTGTAAAGCATTTAGAAATATTTTGTGATTCAGCAAGTGGACAGAACAAGAACTACACAGTGATAAGGTTTATTCATTTTGTTGTCCATAAATAGAAACTTTTAGATTCTATCAAAATTACTTATACAATACAGGGACATTCGTATTTAGAATGCGATAAAAATATGGGCCTAATCAATCTAAAAGCTCACATTGAAGTTCCATACCAGTGGTATGATTTGCTGAGAGTAAGTCGCCAGAGACCCAAACCCTTTGAGGTGATTGAGGTAGGAATAGGTGAACACATAAGACAATTTATAATTTTTTTAAAAAAATCTATACATGAAAAAATGCTCATTTCCTATTCAGTCCCAAAGAGAATTGAAGTGTGTACGAGAACACCCTAGAGTTATTTTACACAGAAGTAATTATAATGGTTTATGGGAGAAATCACCTATTGTGGCAAAAAAGGAACCCGGGTCAAATGACACATCAAATGAATTTGAATTGCCAGATTTTGCCTATATCAATTTCTTACACATTAGTGCAGAAAAGTACAAGGACTTAATGGATTTAAAAAGATTTTGTTCTGAGGGGGCCCAATCCTACTTTGAAAGCATTCCTCATGCATAATCAGCAATGCATTTAGGTAGTTGGACATTCCTTGTATGGGACACACTGGACATTCCCAGTTTTTGTATGTTGTAAAAGTGAACTACTTAAGTGAGAAATATAGAAATGATAATTACACAACTTTTTGTTTTTGTGACATTTCTTGTTTTGCCCCTGTACCCTTCATTTAAAGGTAGAGGTGGCTGCCACGAACCTATTGTTAGTCTTTCCTATGATGGTTAACACCATTAATTCATCCATTATAGCCTATCAAGAGTTCATTCCTGAACAAATACCTCTCCATAGATTGCCTCATTGGGAGTTATAGTAATTTCAGTAAGCGCTATTGTCGATGCGTAGGTAGGTAATATTAATAACACAATTATTGTAACATTGAGCTATGTATAATATAATTCAATGCTTCAAAATTAAATTTTTCAACACGGAAACATGAGAACCATTGCCATTGCCGCCCTAAATACATAGTTTTAGAATTTAATGCTTTAAGTACAATAAAGAAATGAAGATAAATTCTTTAACCTACCTGTTTCTGATACCAACTCTTATAACATTCCTACATTGTTTAATTTATGTTGATCGTAAACTTCTTTCTTATATCTATGGTACAGTGAAACCTTACATCTTTGCCCACATATTTCGGTTTTAATTATTTTTTTTCAAAAAATTGTTACTTTATTTTGATGGTTGCTGAAGCTTTAATCGACACTCTATGCAACAAATAAACTGTCAAAACCAGGTGACATAATTCCTAACAGATGCTGAGAAAAAAACAAAAACAGACGAGGGCAAAGTTATCTTCACTTTCTTACATCTTTGCTCAACCTAAATTTCTCAGCAACTATAAGTTCTATGACTTTGATTTTAAGATATATTGTTAGCAAATCGGCAAAATGGTATACCATTACATTTTCAAATAAATGGAAGTCCATTTTAAGTTTTAATGGCGGTGGGCAATGTTATCACTTTCATACTAAGAGATTTGAGGTGCTAGGGCTGTGCATCAGATGAAAGGAAAATAATAAACTGATTTTAATACAATAATGTATATTTTATTTTCAAAAATAAAAACAAAAACTAACTGAACAAGAAAAAAATTTAGAAAAAGGAAAGTTCTAGAAAATTGTCTCAGAAATTAACCCTGATAGTTGAGATAAAAAGTAACTATACTTATTTAATATAATACGAGGCCAGCTTATACTGATTTTGTTACCACTGATGTGCGTGGTTCACATACTGTGCGTACCAATCCATTTTGTCGACCATTTTTGTCTGCGATCCTTAATGTCTGTCGTTGAGGAGACAATTCTCTTTTAGACTTAATTTTTTTTGCAAACGAATTGCCGCGTAAATCTTATTTAAAAACTTTAGCTTGAAACTGAGAACATTTAAGGTCTCTCTTTTGGGAAACTAGCGATTTCTGAGAAAAATTCCCCACAAATATATACCTATTTATTATATTTAAAATAATATATAAAACAGTATCTAGTTACCTATATAGTTATCACAACAGTAGTTTAGTTTGCAGTTAACAGTAGTTGTTACACAGTTTTTTTTATATATATACCTATATACATTTATTTATTTTATTAACTATACCTATATATTTACATTTTATTTTATATATATATATATATATATATATATATATATATATATATATATATATATATATATAAAATATATATATATATATATATATAATATTTATTTATTATACCTAGGTACATGTTTCCTTGTTTTGTTGTCAATAGTGTCAACCCTAATAACATTTTTGAGCTGGGCAATGTTGTCGACCTCAGTTTATAAAATTGCTTACAACATTACCCTCACAATTTTCTCGCTAACTAAGACAAGTGTAAGAAAGAGACCTTGATTAAAAGCAGCAACAACTAATGCCCTACACGTAAATAATAATGAATCTTACCTGCGCAGCTTTTCTTGGCAATGCGAGATGCAAAACTGCAACAATGTTTTTGCACCACCTTCGACACTGTCCCTTTGACGGTTGCTGACTGATGCCTGAATATAGGTAGCTGCGATTGTAGTAGTCAGTACTGTCAAACAGATACTCTAGTTTTCCCTAGACACCATACAAAGTTGACATTTGTTAAAATAAAATGTCTATCGGTAGTTTTCGTAGTCGTGTTTGGGCAAAGATGTCCCCAAGGGCAAAGTTGTAAGGTTTCACGGTATATTATAAGTTATAAGTTTGTAATTTTAAATTACAGATTATAAGTAATATAAGTTACACCTAACGAAATAATGAGTAATTTTTTTTATAGAATAAGGGTGACAAGCGAGCATCCAACCCACCTAATGGTAAGTGGATGCTGTGGCCCATATACATACTACCTCGACTACGAATCGAAACGCACAAGCGTTGTCACCCCTGAGGTACTTAGATGGAATGCCTTGTAATCCTTATATCCAGTACAAAGGGTTTCCGGTTCTCTACACTCATCGTACGAAACACAGCAGTATTGAGCTGCTATTTTACCCTGGTATTCTGTGAGAGCGTGGTCTTTCAATGGTCGAGCTCGAGCCGACCAATTCAATTTACAACTACATATTATAATATAGTTGCAGCATGGCTTTACCACGTTGAAATCTGAATGCAGCATGGCTCTACCACATAGCAATATAGCTGCAGCATGGCTCTACCACTTAAAAATAATAATTTATTAATAAATGTGGAATTTTTAATAATCACTAATACTAAAAATTTAATAAAGTTAAGAAAGGAATATAACATCCATACAAGTAAACATATTAGATGTATTATCTAATATCTACATAGGTTTGCATAGGTTTTATCAGACAGTCGATCAATACCCACGAAACGAGCCAAACGAGCAACGAGTACAGGTATATGTTAGTGAGCGAGAAAACACAATCTTTCAGTAAGTAGGTCACGAGAATGTTGTTCGCTTTAAAATTTTACCAAATTTATGTAAAATTGATTAATTATTTTATTTTAAATTTCTTTTCAGGTATACCTTAAGTTATATTCTCACATATTATATCTGTAATTACTTTGCAATTAATTATTTCATGACTGAAACGTCTCTCTTTATTTTAAGCATTTGCCAGTTTAAAGAGTTTTGTTTTATCGTTTTAAGCGCATATCTATCATATATAATATCATAATGGAATTTTTAACCAACACCAGTCTTCCCAGACTACTTCCAAAGGTGTAATTATTCATCTACAAAAATAACAATAGGTGAGATTAAGTCTACAACCAGAGTTTAAATTTTTTTTAAATAGTCTTTAATCAACAATGAATTGGACAGTGAGTCTGAAAAGATATTATGTAATATGTATATTGTATACAAATGAATTATTAGCTCGTCACACGAATTAAAATGACTATTAAAAAGTAACTTTTGCCAAATAAAATGACTATTAAAAAGTAACAAGTGAAACTTCACATATTTTGTCAAATGTATGGATTTGTAAGAATAATTGTGTAATTTTTTATCGCACATTTAGATCTGTATTATTTGACATTCTCATTAACATTTTAATAATATAAAAGGCGACCTTGCTTGAAAAGAAGGTTGATAATCACAGCACTAGGTTTTTTCCACCTTGCATTACCAGTTTTCTGATATTTTATACAGTTTCCAGCAGCAATACCGTACAGAAATTTGGTTCAAACATTGGTATACTTACCTATAAATAAAAGCTCAAGTTGCTTGAATATCCTACCATTTTATAATTATCATACCGTGTATTACGATAATATAATACTTATAAAATATTATGTTAGTTTAAATTTTTTACAATGGTATACCGTTTACGCAAGCAATGTTCTAGAATTTTCCACCCCAATGTTTTGTCCTCTTCTTTTGCAGTTATTTGTCTCTTTCTAGCCATGGCCTACGTGATCGGACTGTGATCGGATCGTTCTAGAAAATATTCCCTTTTCTTTTCCTCTTGTAGCTCTGTCTCTCTCATTCATGCTGTGAACATTCTAGAAATATATTCCTACTAAATACAAGACTGACTTACGGTGAGCAGTTTTATTGATGTAGTTTAACCTTCTTACTTTGGTCAGATATTTTTCGGATGTGAGCCTATAAAACCGCTGTGTTTTTCGTAACGGGCGAGATACCGTTATAGGCAGGATAGTGAGAAGGTCATATAAAAGTAAATATGGTGTTTAGGATTAGGACAAGGAATTTTTCCACTAAATGTTGGATATTCAAAAAGAAATATTTCAGTAATAATAATAATGTAGTCATAACGTAGGGATTACAATAGGAATAGTCTTAACAGCGTAAAAAGAAGGTTGCGTCACCGTAAATTTAAGACAAGATGGCCGCGTCATCGCCCGGTTGACGAAAGCTGCAGAAGACAGATTTATCGACATCTTCTGTCAATTGCTGAATATTTGAGGTAGGTACATTATATCCCTTATTAAGGTTTATAGTAAGGTAGTAGGTACAATAAATTTGTAAGATGTACAATAAATTTGCAACTGCGTAATAGATTACTCTTGCTGCAGAATAAGAATTTTACTGTCTAAAACTAACTTCTTAGCTATACTTGTGGTCTATGGTCTATAGGATGTGAATTTTTGTACTTTGACATTATGCAGATGCCAAAAGTTAAAATTTCAAAATGGCGTCGCCAAAATTAAAACTATGTAATGTTATAATAAATATATAATGTTATAATAATAAGTCTACCTGTTTAGTTTAATTTTTATGACCTTAGGATAACGGACTGCATGTAATTAAAAGTTAAATCTCTCTTCCTTTACCTATTTCGAAACAATGCACGTTATTAACATTACAATAGGTTGATAACTAAGCTTTCCGCCATTTTGTTAAGATTACGACTGAACGCCATAATGGTGTGAAAAAGTTTATTTTAATTTTAGGTACTTTAGATACTGGGGTAGCAAAATATGCATGATGGTAATTTGAAGGGAGTAGTTTCAAGATTTTTTAATTTGAAACTTTTCAAATAACACCAATATTTAAAGAAAAAGAAAGGGAGACTACGTCATTATCAATGCAAGCAATGCATGTTGTTCATGACGCATATTTTTCAATATTTTTTGAACGTATTAAGCATAATCAGGAACGACTTAAACGTCATAGTTACATTAAGCATAATATATGTTTAGATCTACAAAAATAATAGAGGTCATTGAAAAAAAAATTAAGGTGAACATAATGTAAACACACTAGCATTATAGGTACTTCTCAAAAGTAAGAAGCAACAAAAAATGCCTACCTACTTTAGATAACCTGTTAAAGATATACGGATTACTTGGGTAAATTTGGGTTTAAGGTAAAGGTTTATACTTTAAATAGCATTGATAATTAGTCATATGATTAAGACTTTAAACTCCAATCAGTAACTTGGGATATAGAAATTATAACAGAAATTTGGTTAAATTAATATAATACCTAGTTAAGTAAATTCTTATTTCTCAGGGTTAAAATGATTTGAGTACAAAACGTGCAATTAATATGGTTATTGCTTTATTTTTAATTTTTATATTAACCACTAAATCTACACGACTTCTATGAAATTACTTTAATCCGTTATATTTCAATTTTATAATATTTCAGGAGTTATGATTTATTTTGCTTCATCCACAATCGTCGCCGTCAACGTTGTCTCACACAATGTTCAGCATCACGCAGGGCAATCCCAGCTACTAAATTGTAGACTTGACTTGTTTTAAGTCGATTAAAAAGGCGCGTAAAATAGTCATCAGGAACCAGTCTGCGATAGCCAATATTTTAGAACAAAGGTATTTAAAGCCGTTATAAATGAGATAAATTTGACAAATCATGAATTAGCTTTAGTTTATTTAGCCGTAGTTTAACAAAACAAAAAAAAAAACGCCGAATGTAAATTATGGAGTTGAAACTTATTAACAACAACAACAACATCACTGTTACTGTACTCCTAAACACAGCGCGTTTCATATTTAATTGATTCATCAAAGCGCACCAAAAGATTATTAATCAAATCTTGCTTTTTCTGAAACTTTATCTTGTACAACATACAACACTGACAAGTTAGTGTGACGAACATCGTAAAGATTAGAAAAAGCATATTTAATTATGCATGATGTGTAAAACCTGTTTTGTGGTATAAAGTTCTTTTCTTTTTTAAAACTCCAAAGAAAAATAAAACATAATCTATGCAATGCTATAATTAATTTTCAGATGAGCTATTTAGGTGCGTCGGAGCTATGGATCGTTTTAACAGAAGGGAACAATTTTTAGTTAGGAGTGTCTGGGTAGAATTTTCCATATCCAGTAGTCATTGGAAGGCAGTAGATCGTGAATAAAATCAAAAAAGGAACAGAATATGCAAACCCTATATATATTTTTACATATAAATTTCAAACTGGATTTTTTGTTTAATAAAGGAAAATTGCAATTTTGAGTAAACTGATCACAATTTTTAAACTAAGCTAATGAATTTTGTCCATAATACATTAGAATGTAATAGTTTACACATTTTAAACAATAATAAAGACAATCAACCACGAGGTTAACATTTATTTCGCCTTGTATCCTGGTTCGGGAAAATAAAATTTGAGGTAAGAATCTATTACTAATATTTCTTATTAAGTAAATTTCGATTTAGATAAATAATCTGTACAAGTCACTTTTGTAAAGGTTATAGTAGTTTAAATATTTTTCATGTAAATGCCATCATAGGTCTAGACAAAAATGTGAAAACACCGTGGCTCACGTGTAATTACGTTTTCGGTAATTTTCTCCGCATTAACTTTAAAGCTGATAACATAGTAAACCAAAATCCTAGTGCCAATCATTAAAAAAGGTAAACATATTCTTTAAGGCGCAAAAAATTAACCACCGACTAACTTTAGAGCTTTTTTTAATAGCGAAATGGGAATGAGGAATAGTGAGAAACAGTAAAATAAGAACTCCGAAGTGTTTAAAACTAAAAGATTAGTGATACAATCAATATTGAGTACTTAAGATACTGATTGTATTATTAATATTTTAATTTTTGGTAAAAAGATCGTTCTTTAATTTTCAATTAGTTACAAATAACTGGTTAATTAAATGGTTAATGTTTGTGTTGTCGCGTCCATGGTCATTGTACATATTTGGATATTCATAAGGCTAGAGGAATTTCATCAGTGTTATCGGTGCTGAATGATTTTTGATATAAGAGCTTAATGCTAAAATATAGATATGCATTTGTTTTGAAACTTTTTTTTCAGAAAATCTGAATTGAATTTTACTATTGATGTTCTATCATCAGAATTTATATACAATTTAAGCCCACTGTAAATCGACACCACTGACACAACGGCAGTTTGATCAAACACATAGCATCAATTTTAAGTGTTTCTTTGTATGACTTCAGCTACAGTATACATTAAATAACACATTTACGGGTTAAATAGGAACTCTTTAACCGTTTCAACGTCAGTTGAATGCCGGTCGGTCATGAATTGGACCACAACCAAAATTATTACTGCAATTGTATAACTAATTACATATAGACCAACCCTTTATACGTCATTTACAAATTATTCGCTGAATGTAAAAATATTTTTTAATTGGTAACTTACATCTATTATAGCTAATAGGTATTCAATATTCTCCTACCTTTAAAACCAAGTAGCTACATATTGTTAAAGTTAAATCGTCAAGTGTACGAAATGTAGACATGTAAAACTTTTATATGCTAAATAGGTATATATCGGAACAAAATTAGATAACTTTTATACCGAAACAAGAAAAATAGAACAAAGAAATCATTGTGAATATGTAAGAAAACATATATTATGGAAGACTAAGGGCATTTAAATACTACCTAATAAAAATTAAATTTAGGCGATGAAACATTGTGCAATTTGCTTACAGTATTTTTAAAAGTACTTTGAAATGAGATCTTAGTGACATAAATATCGCAAGATAGTTCGATGTACATTACATGAACGGTTATAGATGTTATTTTTCTAAAAATTCTAATGACAAAGGAATGAACATAAAAATCAATAAAAATCTAGTGTTAGTCTTAGGCATAAGGATAAAAAAAACTATGCAACATAATCTGACAGATGTTAATTTTGTATATTCCTAATTGCTAAAAAGGTTTTGTATTCAAATTTCAAATAAACTGTCAATCTGCGAATATTGAACAAAAAAGCAATTATTAACGAAATTTAAAACGTTTAGGGTTGTTTTCATTCAGTGATTTATATCTGCAAAATAATCCATAACGAGCAATTTAATACTAATTAAAGTTCGAAAAAATAAAAAACGCACAAAGCTTGATGAAATATAAAAGTAAACTACAGCACTAATATTTTAGAATTGAATACCCTTAGGGTGAGCAAATTTAAGGACTTAAGAAAATTTTATACGTAATCAATCAATATATTACCTACTTAAAATAATATTTATTTCAGTGTTAGTCTTACGCATAAGAATAAAAAAAACTATGCAACATAATCTGACAGATATTAATTTTGTATATTCCTAATTGCTAAAAAAGGTTTTGTATTCAAATTTCAAATAAACTGTCAATCTGCGAATATTGAACAAAAAAGCAATTATTAACGAAATTTCAAACGTTTAGGGTTGTTTTCATTGTGATTTATATCTGCAAAATAATCCATAACGAGCAATTTCATACTAATTAAAGTTCGAAAAAATAAAAAAACGCACAAAGCTTGATGAAATATAAAAGTAAACTACAGCACTAATATTTTAGAAGTGAATACCCTTAGGGTGAGCAAATTTAAGGACTTAAGAAAATTTTATACGTAATCAATCAATATATTACTTAAAATAATATTTATTTCAGTGTTAGTCTTAGGCATAAGGATAAAAAAAAAACTATGCAACATAATCGCAGACAGATTTCATTTTGTATATTCCTAATTGCTAAAAAGGTTTTGTATTCAAATTTCAGATAAACTGTCAATCTGCGAATATTGAACAAAAAAAAAAAAAGCAATTACGAACGAAATTTAATTTCATCAGTGTTATCGGTGCTGAATGATTTTTGATATAAGAGGTTAATGCTAAAATATAGATATGCATTTGTTTTGAAACTTTGTACAGTTTTTTCAGAAACTCTGAATTGAATTTAACTATTGATGTTCTATCATCAGAATTTATGTACAGTTTAAGCCCACTGTAAATCGACACCACTGACACAACGGCAGTTTGATCAAACACATAGCATCAATTTTAAGTGTTTCTTTGTATGACTTCAGCTACAGTATACATTAAATAACACATTTACGGGTTAAATAGGAACTCTTTAACCGTTTCAACGTCAGTTGAATGCCGATCGGTCATGAATTGGACCACAAACTATTACTGCAATTGTATAATTACATATAGACCAACCCTTTATACGTCGTTTACAAATTATTCGCTGAATGTAAAAATATTTTTTAATTGGTAACTTACATCTGTTATAGCTAATAGGTATTCAATATTCACCTACCTTTAAAACCAAATAGCTACATATTGTTAAAGTTTAATCATCAATTGTACGAAATGTAGACATATAAAACTTTTATATGCTAAATAGGTATATCGGAACAAAATTAGATAACTTTTATACCGAAACAAAAATAGAACAAAGAAATCATTATGTGAATATGTAAGAAAACATATATTATGGAAGACTAAGGGCATTTAAATACTACCTAATAAAAATTAAATTTAGGCGATGAAACATTGTGCAATTTGCTTACAGTATTTTTAAAAGTACTTTGAAATGAGATCTTAGTGACATAAATATCGCAAGATAGTTCGATGTACATTACATGAACGGTTATAGATGTTATTTTTCTAAAAATTCTAATGACAAAGGAATGAACATAAAAATCAATAAAAATCTAGTGTTAGTCTTAGGCATAAGGATAAAAAAAACTATGCAACATAATCTGACAGATATTAATTTTGTATATTCCTAATTGCTAAAAAGGTTTTGTATTCAAATTTCAGATAAACTGTCAATCTGCGAATATTGAACAAAAAAGCAATTATTAACGAAATTTAAAACGTTTAGGGTTGTTTTCATTCAGTGATTTATATCTGCAAAATAATCCATAACGAGCAATTTCATACTAATTAAAGTTCGAAAAAGTAATAAACGCACAAAGCTTGATGAAATATAAAAGTAAACTACAGCACTAATATTTTAGAATTGAATACCCTTAGGGTGAGCAAATTTAAGGACTTAAGAAAATTTTATACGTAATCAATCAATATATTACTTAAAATAATATTTATTTCAGTGTTAGTCTTACGCATAAGAATAAAAAAAAAACTATGCAACATAATCTGACAGATATTAATTTTGTATATTCCTAATTGCTAAAAAGGTTTTGTATTCAAATTTCAAATAAACCGTCAATCTGCGAATATTGAACAAAAAAAGCAATTATTAACGAAATTTAAAACGTTTAGGGTTGTTTTCATTGTGATTTATATCTGCAAAATAATCCATAACGAGCAATTTAATACTAATTAAAGTTCGAAAAAATAAAAAACGCACAAAGCTTGATGAAATATAAAAGTAAACTACAGCACTAATATTTTAGAAGTGAATACCCTTAGGGTGAGCAAATTTAAGGACTTAAGAAAATTTTATACGTAATCAATCAATATATTACTTAAAATAATATTTATTTCAGTGTTAGTCTTAGGCATAAGGATAAAAAAAAACTATGCAACATAATCGCAGACAGATTTCATTTTGTATATTCCTAATTGCTAAAAAGGTTTTGTATTCAAATTTCAGATAAACTGTCAATCTGCGAATATTGAACAAAAAAAAAAAGCAATTACGAACGAAATTTAAAACATTTAGGGTTGTTTTCATTCAGTGAACGAACGAAATTTAAAACGTTTAGGGTTGTTTTCATTCAGTGAATATATCTGCAAAATAATCCATAGCGAGCAATTTCATACTAATTAAAGTTCGAAAAAATAAAAATAAAACGCACAAAGCTTGATAAAATATAAAAGTAAACTACAGCACTAATATTTCAGAAGTGAAATACCTTTAGGGTGAGCAAATTTAAGGACTTAAGAAAGTTTTATACGTAATCAACCAATATATTACTACTACTTACTAGTCTTGTCTGACATATTTTATGTGATATAACATTCAGGGTGCATCAAAACACGGAAGAACAAATATAAGGACGAATAATTTTTATTTAAAATGCGTATGATTTTATGTGATATAACATTCAGGGTGCATCAAAACACAG